ATGTAAACAGGATATTTCTCATGGAGATAACTGTGTTCGGGAAACCGCAGAGATTCAGTGAACAGATACTGCTTCAGCATCAAATACCGGTCCTCGGGGGCCCAGTTCGTCGTATTCCTTGATGAAAGACAGTGGTGATTACAGATCAGTACTGTGGCAATGAGAGGCCTTATCTATGTGTCCCCATAGTGTCTCCATTAATAGATCAGCAGGGGCGAAGGAGGGTATCGGGGGGTCGTTGTGTGTGTGTGGGTGTGCGGTCTTATTGCTCTTTTACCACTTTTCCTCCAGATGTGCGGGTAAATAAGATGTAGTTATTGTAAGTTGCTACAGTAGCGTAGCAATTCCATGGGACAGAGTTGTTAGAGACATTGAGTAACTTGCAAAAGACCAACAATTATATTGAAGAAAGTATAGTTTAAGCTTCTTGTATTGTAACCCTCTGTATAATTCATATCTCATTGAGCATAGGACACATTTTGCTTAACTTTATGCTTTGGCTAAGGGCTCCCGTATCTTAGAGATCCCACACAAATACTACATCACCCATTCAGACGCTTGTTTCGTACCTTTCCCTTTGTCAGTTCATCTCCAGCTCTTTCCCCCTATGCTCCCTCCATCACAACCATCCATCTCTACCGTACCTCACATCTGCGCAGCCTCCCTCCGTCCACCCCTCTACTCCCATAAATCTCCCCTTACGCATCCCTTCTCCCGCCCCCACTTTCCGTCGTCCCTCATCTCGTCCTTCCTTCCTGTCCCCTGATGTTCCCGCTCGGCGTTTTTTTTTCCCCTTCCGCTTTTCTCCATCCATCCGTCCCGTCTGAATAATGCAGTGGCCACGCAGCTGCGGAGCCATTGTCCCTGCTTCAATGTTAATGTTGTGTCCTTGTCACCATTATTGGGTCACTATCATCCATCACGGCAAATCATTGTCATACAGAACCACGGACAAACAAAACACATTACGGGGAACAGAGGTGCACGCGTGTAGAGAACAAAGGCGCACGCGAGGCAGAGAAGTGAGTCCCGCTTGATGACGCTTGTGAGAAATTAAGCGATGCACTGTGAAAAGTCACACACTGCATGCGCTTTATTTTTGCTGCAACAGATCTGTCGAAGCGAAAAACGTATTGTAATTTAGATGTCAATGAATGTGTTCCTCAGTGTATTCAGAGAGAGGTATCCAAATTAGGCAAATGATCTTCGTCCCACATAATTTGAAATATATCGACAGTGACGTTTACTTTCTCCTGGGTGTAAGTCCTATGTTGCATTCACCCCGACCTCCTCCAACCCATTTACCCCTGTACATAACTACCACAATATATGTAAAGTGCTAAAAGGGGGTTTTGGTAATTTTACGTGAAATCGGGCTGAAATAAGAATAAAGATGACTCTCTCTGACTAAAGCAAGTGCTCAACATAGCCGGGTGCCACACGAATAATACATTTAGTCTCCGCCACAGTGATGAGTGGCAGGTCTCCCACTGTCATGTGTTTGCTTCGAAATGCAGAATCCAGCTTTGTCTTGTTTAGTGTTGTGAGCGGCGCTCTTCGTATATGGAGTTGTCGCAGTGAACGTCTCGGTATTTTTTTCTAGATACGTTCCTCCCTTTGCGTTGTGATCATGCCAGTAGTTTGGCTTCGCTTTCGGCTTTACAGATCTGAAGCCCACAGAATGATTGTGGTGGGTCTTTTGTGGGATTATCGGTTTGAATTTCCATCAAACAAACACTTTTTAGTGATGTGACTTAAACTGCACTGTAGAACTTGTGGTGGCGGGGGCGATGAAGGATGGGGGGCTAACGTGGATTAGGTTGAACAGACCCATTAAAACATGAAAGCTTGTTGATAGCTGATGTGGGAGTATCAGACATCTCCTCTTAGAGACCAGTGGCTTCAGGGTATTGAGCCTGTGTGTGTGTGTGTGTGTGTGTGTGTGTGTGTGTGTCTGTGTGTGGGTGTTTGTGTGCAAATGAATCGATAGTGATGAGAGCCGGCTGGTATCTATTACCTATTTAATTATCCTCCATCAAACAAACATGATAGCACCTTGAGATCACTTAGACCACAGCCTATCGCAAAAACACGCACACACAGCGAGTCCTCAATAGCAGGTGGGTCACATTTGCTTTTACTCTCGTGTAAAATGAAGGACAATCAAGGTCACCAAAGCCAAAGGCGAAAACTAATGCTTTCACAAAAGAGCAGAGACAGCAGGCCCTTTAATTAACCCTTATCTCTGACCTTTTAAGGAAGTCAAAAGTAGGTAACAAATGAGGCCAATTAAGCGAGACAGTATCGTTTCATTTATCTAATTTAATTCCATTTTTAATGTCATGGGTTCAGGAACTGCAAGCTCGCGCTGCAGGTGACCCCATGTCCACCGGGTTTCAGCTCAAGGGCCAACAACAAGGGCCCTTTTATTTATTTCCTGCTCGGAAGCCGGCGGGCAGTCGATGTCGGCGGACGACAAACCAAAACAAGCCACTCGGACGCCGCAGCTGGGAAAGAGCGGCGTGGAATCAGTGTCTGAGTGACAGAGTTGCTGCTCCTGTCTCGCTCTCACCGGCATGGTTACACAACAGGCGAGCTGCAGTGAAATCTGTGTGTGTGTGTGCACAGTATGTGCGCATGCATTTGAAAGGGAGTTTATGTATCGTGCGACCCAGAAACATCGAGAAGTCTCTCATGGCTTCATTAGGGCACAAACCAAAAGTTTGGAATCTATAACCTTTAAATTATTCTGCTGCCAGCTCCCTAACACACCGTTTGTGTGTGTCTTTTTGTGTAGTTGTTTTTGCCATCTCATTTTTCTAAAACATTATCATACCCGGTTTTCTTCATGTTGTCCGTTATTTATTCTACTAACTTTTTCCCTCACTCTCACTGGAGGAGTTTGCAAAGTGTCAGTAGCAACAAAGATGTGTGTGCGTTTTTGTAGATCTCCCATAAAATTACGTCTCTGTGTTATCCACAAAATCATCAACCAGGAAGTTTATAGACTACAATACCCGTGGGGTTATGGGTGGGAGCGGGGGGGTAGCATTGGTCAATAAACAAAATTCCTTTCAGTCCGTTTGTGCACACTGTGAAACGAGACGTCAACGCAACTGCCAAACTTCAGTAATATTACTTCCGTAGACGCGTGTGCGGTTGGACTACGTCAATAAATGGGGAATAGCTGTTCAGTCAGTGTGGCAGTTAAAAACTGGGCACAGGCAGCGGCCTCACGTGTCCATTCACGTTGACTTCCCCCCTTTGTGGACTTTGTGGCTCCAAAACAACGCAGCACCACTTCCTCTGCTGCGCCTCTTCTGAGGCATCCTTTCTACGCGCTTCAAAGGGCCTCATCACTTCACCGTAAACGCACCAAGTCTTATTCTCCCAGTAAGATGTAGGGAAACTAAAGCGACCCTGTATCGCAACCCTTCCTGCTCGTCTTCAGCCGTCAGGCTTAACTTGTTATGCTGACTTTTTATCAACGGGGGGCCGACGTCCTCCTGCACCAAAACTCAGTGTACCACTTGACCCAGTGCAGAAAAGGAACAGGCAGTTTACCTCTGGAACTCTCCTTCAGACGCCCAACATCTCCATGATGGAGATAGGGAAGGAAGCACAGGAGTGTTATCAGTTCCACACACACACACGCACACACACACACACACGCGCGCAGGACCACTGCAGCATTTCACCACATCTCTCGTGCCCTTCACTTTTCCCTTCTGTTGACGAGTCCCGCCTCATCACCTCCCTTCCTACTCTTCTGGTGTTCTCTCATCTCCCCCCCACCTCCCTGCTGCATGCCTCTCACCCCACCCACCCCCCGTTCTACCTCTCTCCCCCTGCTCTCCCCCTCTTCTCCCCCTCCTCCCCACATGTCTGTCTGCTGGAAAACTGGAGCAACGTCTTAATCGAGGCTCCGAGACGTGACGGGAATTTCTAAGCCACCCCGGCTCTGCAGTACAGACACAAACACGCACACACACACAAACACGCTCACACATGCACACACACACACACACACGCACACACACACATTGGGCTTGGCGGCCAATTAACAGCCTGCGATCCAGTGCCAAAGGAATAACTGCATGCTGATGAGCCAGCGGCTCTACGTGTGTGTGTGTGTGTGTGTGTGTGTTTGTGATGAGATGGTGGCCGTCAGAACCACTTACACAGATAGAAGGATATCTCTTTTATGTGCTCCGTGGGGAGAGAGGGGGGATTATGGCGCATTAAAAAAAAAACATCTTTGTGAGGGAAACACTGAGACAGGAAGTGTAAGTTTGTCCCAGAGATTATTTTTGTGTAATAGCTGTGTGTGTGTGTGTGTGTGTGTGTGTGTGTGTGTGTGTGTGTGTGTGTGTACCCCAGCAGTATCAGGAGAACAATGCGGATGATTTACATGGAGCGTTGCTTTCTCCTGCTAATCCAACTCCTCCTCATCCTTCCTCTACCGTTATCTTTCGTTCTCCTCCTCCTCCTCAATTTCAGCCTGCCTTCACATTCCGGAGTTCATCCAAAGGTGAACGCCTGGCATAAAAATGTTCTTCCCCCCCCGCCAACCTCAGAAAGCTCATATATTCTCTTTTTGTGTCAGATATACTGACACGATATCCCGGAGCAGCAGAGCGCTGTGTTTGCCCGTCGAGGTTTGATCCTCTTTTATTTATTTTTTTGGGGGGGTAGATAAAAAAAAAGAGTTGAAAAGAAGACTGTGGGTTGAAATCCTGCCTTCTGCGGTGCTGGTGCCCTACTTTACTGCACAGTCTTCTAAGTAGACCGTACACAAACAAAAAATACTGCCGGGTGACAGGTGTCAGATACTAGCAAATGAATGAAGAATGAAGAACTCACTCAGAATAACTAATTGGTAGTGTTTTACTTAAAAAACATTACCAATCATGCATGGTCAAATAAATATGTTCACAAAAACTAGCACCAATATGTGTGCAAGAAATAATAAGCAAAAAGTGCAAATCAAGAGTTACAGTGTTGAAGTAGAAACTGTGTATAATAGATGTACAGAGGAGCTTTTTTATTTGTTGGGAAACGATTGTGATACTTTGTTCCAGCAGGTTGACAACTCGTGCTGGAGAGTTGCTGTTGTTGGGAGGACAGCGCTGCCGGTGAAGCAGGTCTATGTAAGAAAAGGCTGCTATCTAGTGGTTACATGTGCAAACGACAGGGGAGGATGTGATGAAATAATGTTCAGGATATAACAATACGTTTCATACTGAGACACAAAACAAACATTCCTTTGTCGTCTAACACCCTGAAAAGACCAAACATTGAGTCTGAGTATTCCTTCAGAAGTAAGTGGTAGGGCGATGCAGGAGTCACTCTATTCCTATTATAATGACTATTTCAAAAAGGCTATATGTGGATATCTTTTTGTGTTGCCTGAATTCCTCAAATCCTTGTTGTTCCTGTTTCCATCTCTGATATTTTAAACTAATTTTGAATGAATGTATTTCTATTCTCAGAACAACTTATGCAAAAAAAGACGAAGAAGAAATTACAGAAATCAGAGAATGGGAATATTTGAAATCTTCATCATTTGATCCGGAAACACTATAACCAAATTTTCTCAACTTAATTCTGTGTTGCGAGTAAAATCTTCATTTGAAATAATAGCATTTGCACAAGAGTATTTCCAACAGCGGCATTCCTAAACGATCTGGAATGATCCAGTGACTTCTGCACTCCTGAGAAACAGCTCCCTCCAGTGGAGTGCTCCGGTAGTGACAGGAAAGTTCCTGAAGACTCTGGACCTCCTCCAGTTAGGGTATAAAAGCTGGGACAGTCTCACTGTGGGGACAGAAAACAGCACAGAAGAGACGACAGTTCTACAAGAAGACTGAACACTAAAGCCGCACTGAAGATGCTTTGCTCTCATGGATTCCAGTCCGCCCTCAGTCCATTCACGGGCCTCCACTGGCCTGCACGCAGTCTGTGGCCAGATGTCAAACCTCTGCTCCACCAGCAGGATCTACTGCAGAGAAACCTACAGGACCTCCGCAGCAGTCTGGATCTGATGGACAAACTTCATCAGGAGATGCTGCAGGAGACGGAGCCTTTCCAAACCAGCGTGGCCCTGCAACCGGTCTCCTGCCAGCTGGACACAGAGGGGGAGAACTTTGGCCTGAGCCTGGACACTCGAGGATTTTCCCCAGAGGAGCTGTCCGTCAGGCAGGTGGGCCGCAAGCTGAGAGTCAGCGGGAAGACGGAGAGGAAGCAGGAGGACGGGGAAGGCTCCTACTCTTACAGCCACCGGGAGTTCAGACAGGAATTCGAACTGCCAGAAGGGACAAACCCCGAGGCCATCACCTGCCGCCTGGCTCCAGACGGGAAGCTCCACATCCAGGCAGCCAGAGCTCCACCAGGGGACGAGAAGGAGAGAGAGCTGACCATCCAGAGGAGCTCGGAGGAGAAGACACAGCAGAGTGTGTGTGCACAGACACAAGGCAGCAGCACACAGAACCTGGAGACATCTGCTGGGTGTTCAAGCCGTGTACAGTAACTGTGTTGAACGAACAATCTGTTTCATAAATTGTATGATCAATAAACTTATTTGAATGTAAAGCCTTCTCATTTCATTTTTTAATACAAAATAATATTTCATTTCCACATTTCAGTCGCTTTAGGAAGAAATACATGGAAAATAAACATAAAGGTTAGAAAGGACAGTATTTTACTTTTATATTATGAGAATTTACAATCACAATGACAATGAAAAAAGTTTTGCGTCAATGATTAAATAATAAATTCATAATTTTCTATCAAAAATAATCTGGAATTTTTAGTAATGTATCATTGCTAAAGAATTAACAAACTATAATTTCAATACATACTCCATTTTGATTTCCTGCATTCTAAGGTAAATTGTTTACATCAGACTTTATGAGACATGAACTTTATGAACAGGATCAATCGGTGACTCATGAGTTACCGCTCTTTTTTCGTTCTAATACAGCTGTTTTTTCCTGATTGGATTGGCTTCCTTGTTTGTATTTGTGAGATTTGATTTATGTTTCCCAGCTGGTCGGGTTAATAATTGCGCCTTGTTTGGAGGATACAATTATAAATGTGACAGGGAATAACGTATATTATTTGCCTGTCTGGCGCCCAACGTATGTTTTGGATTAAAGACGCAAACCTACGCTCAGTAGAAATTTAACCCGACTGCTAATACTGATATTAAATGTATGAATTATATAGTCATCTATAATGCCCATTATTAAGGGTGGGAATCTCTTGGCACCTCACGATTCGATTCGATTCCGATTCAAAGGTCAATGATTCGATTCTAAACTGATTATCGATTCTAAACTGATAAAACGATTATCGATGCATCTCAATTTTCTAAATTTTTTCTCAAATCTGAGTTTGCTACTGAGAGGTTGCTAATCACTTCCTACTTTATTTGATAATTAAAGAAAGTCAACAGATGAATTACCTTCTCTAATTTTTTATAAGAGAAAAAAAAATCTTTGTCACAAATATGATTTTCTATCAACAATGCAAGAATCAATGCAGCTTGCATTTCAACACAATATGGAAGTAGCCTATGTAAAAAAATATTAAACAGATACATTTTTCTTTTAAATTAAGAAAAAGCTGCTCTCAGTCTCAGACCGGTCCGTATTTGCAGATGCAGAGCGGAGAGTGCGTGTCGGGATGTAGGGTTTGACCATGTCCTGGATGTAAGCTGGACCCGATCCATTCACAGCATGGTACGTGAGCACCAATGTTTTGAACTGGATGCGGGCGGCCACCGGTAGCCAGTGAAGAGAGCGGAGGAGTGGAGTAGTGTGGGAGAATTTTGGAAGGTTGAAGACCAGTCGAGCTGCTGCATTCTGAATGAGCTGCAGAGGTCGAATGGCGGTGGCAGGGAGAGCAGCCAGGAGGGAGTTGCAGTAGTCCAGGCGGGAGATGACAAGAGCCTGAATCAGTACCTGCGCTGCCTTCTGAGTGAGAAGGGGACGTATTCTCCTGATGTTGTAGAGCGTGTATCTACAGGATCGCGTTGTCGCGGTGATGTTGGGAGTCAGGGAGAGTTGGCTGTCGAGTGTGACGCCGAGGTTCTTAGCGGTCAAAGTGGGCGTTAGTACGGAGTTCCCAAAGTTGACTGTCAGGTCCTGGGTAAGCAAATCTTTTCCGGGAAAGAGAAGTAGTTCAGTCTTGTCGGGGTTGATTTTCAGATGGTGGGCGGACATCCACTGGGAGATGTCAGTTAGACAGGCAGAGATCCGAGCCGCCACCTGGGTGTCCGAGTGAGGGAAGGAGAGAATTAGTTGGGTGTCATCGGCATAGCTGTGGTAAGAGAAGCCATGCAAGCGAATGACAGCGCCAAGAGAGTTGGTGTAAAGCGAAAACAGGAGGGGACCCAGCACGGAACCCTGAGGAACTCCAGTAGTAAGAGGACAAGGTTCCGACACAGATCCTCGCCAGGTTACCCGGTAGGTGCAGCCGCCGAGGTAGGACGAGAGAAGGGAGAGAGCAGAGCCTGTGACACCAAGTTCCTGAAGGGAGGAAATAAGGATCTGGTGGTTGACCGTGTCAAATGCAGCAGAGAGGTCCAGAAGGATGAGGACAGAGGAGAGAGAGGCGGCTCTAGCAGTGTGGAGTTGCCCTGAGACAGCAAGGAGAGCAGTCTCTGTGGAGTGGCCTGCCTTGAAACCTGACTGGTGGGGGTCAAGGAGGTTGTTACAGTGGAGATAAGAGGAGAGTTGATTAAAGATAGCACGTTCGAGGGTTTTGGACAAAAAGGGAAGAAGAGAGACCGGTCTGTAGTTGTTTTCTTCAGAAGGGTTGAGGGTGGGTTTCTTCAGGAGAGGGTTGACTCTTGCCTCCTCCAGAGAATTGGGAAAACAGCCAGATAACAGAGCGTTGTTGATGAGACAGGTGAGGAACGGAAGAAGGTCAGGTGCGATAGATTGTAGAAGATGTGATGGAATGGGGTCAAGAGGGCAGGTGGTCGGACGGGCAGAGGTTACTAGGGTAAGAATTTGGTTAGGAGAGAGGGCGGTGAAAGAGGAAAGTGAGGGCGAAAGAGGTGAAGTCGGAGGGACGCGAAAAGTTGGAGGTGGGTTTGAGAAGGAGGAGCGTATGTCAGCTATTTTCTTGGTAAAGTAGTTTTATAAATAAAAAAAAATCAGAAATCAAAATGTGCCGGTAATGAGCCGGTAATGTCCCGCTAATCAAAAAAATATATATTTCCTGTGGACTGTATCTGTAGTATAATACTTTTATCCATCGAAATATAAGCCATGATATTAAAAGTGTGTCCAAAAATAGTTATTTGTACAAAAAATCAAAAATATCAGGTAATGCTGGAAAAATTTCAATAGGTTTATTGATCATACAATTTATGAAACAGATTGTTCGTTCAACACAGTTACTGTACACGGCTTGAACACCCAGCAGATGTCTCCAGGTTCTGTGTGCTGCTGCCTTGTGTCTGTGCACACACACTCTGCTGTGTCTTCTCCTCCGAGCTCCTCTGGATGGTCAGCTCTCTCTCCTTCTCGTCCCCTGGTGGAGCTCTGGCTGCCTGGATGTGGAGCTTCCCGTCTGGAGCCAGGCGGCAGGTGATGGCCTCGGGGTTCGTCCCTTCTGGCAGGTCGAATTCCTGTCTGAACTCCCGGTGGCTGTAAGAGTAGGAGCCTTCCCCGTCCTCCTGCTTCCTCTCCGTCTTCCCGCTGACTCTCAGCTTGCGGCCCACCTGCCTGACGGACAGCTCCTCTGGGGAAAATCCTCGAGTGTCCAGGCTCAGGCCAAAGTTCTCCCCCTCTGTGTCCAGCTGGCAGGAGACCGGTTGCAGGGCCACGCTGGTTTGGAAAGGCTCCGTCTCCTGCAGCATCTCCTGATGAAGTTTGTCCATCAGATCCAGACTGCTGCGGAGGTCCTGTAGGTTTCTCTGCAGTAGATCCTGCGGGTGGAGCAGAGGTTTGACATCTGGCCACAGACTGCGTGCAGGCCAGTGGAGGCCCGTGAATGGACTGAGGGCGGACTGGAATCCATGAGAGCAAAGCATCTTCAGTGCGGCTTTAGTGTTCAGTCTTCTTGTTGAACTGTCGTCTCTTCTGTGCTGTTTTCTGTCCCCACAGTGAGACTGTCCCAGCTTTTATACCCTAACTGGAGGAGGTCCAGAGTCTTCAGGAACTTTCCTGTCACTACCGGAGCACTCCACTGGAGGGAGCTGTTTCTCTGGAGTGCAGAAGTCACTGGATCTTTCGTGCGCTTTCAGGAGCTTCATGTTTTTGCAAGAGTTCAACACCAGATGTCACTCAAACTCATGCTTGATTTACCCAAATTGTAGGGATTATTTACTGTCCTTATCTTCAACTGTTTGACTTTGGAAAATATTAGTTTTTGCTTTATCTGTACTGTCCTGTACAAACAATAATCATCCTAGTAGGAGCAGCAGTATTTCTTTTAACACAACTGAGCAGCTTTTGATGTTTTTATTTAAATTAAATTGTAAATGCATTAACGTATAGTTCACTTTGCCTCCATTTCCTTATTAGGGCTCAGCAGCTCAGTACTCTACCTCCTATGGACTAATCTTCCTCTTTAAACCCATTACACTGAAGCCACTGTCTGCCTATTAGTACCAAAATCAATGATAGACACCAGACAAGATTATGCTGTAATACAATAAAGAGACGAGAAGAGAGACTCAATCACACTCAGCATTTTTGCTTTTGTTTCATATCTCCTCCTCGCTTTCTAGCAAAGGAGGTAAAGGAATATGTTTTTTGCAGTATAGTTAGTTGTATTTTACATTTAAATGATGATTAATATAGTTAGATTCTGCCTTTTATTCATAGCTGGTAAGACAAAAGCCTGATATTTATGTTTATGTTTACGCGCCTCCTGTGTATCCGGTAGAAATAGCCAAACAACAGAACAAACAAGGCAGAGTACCTGCAGAGATCCAGGATAAAGTGGAGCATCAAACAATCAAACACTCCAATAGTTTTTTTTTAATGTTACACAACGGTGGATTAGTAAAAAGTTACATTTGATCACTGTGTTGGGTTTAGGATGCTGTTGTTTCAACGCTTTGTCTTCATTCTCAGTCCACGTCTTCGTTCTTCAAGACCTGCATTAAGACAATTGCCACCTAAATGTAATCCCACTATTTCACCATGAACAAAATCAATAAGCAAGCCTCTCCAATAAAGTTAAAGCATTTCAGAGACAAACATTAATTTCACCTTGAATATCATACATTGTTTTATTGGACTCCTTGATGAGAGCAAACAATTAGCATTATGGCCGTTTGTGACAACTCCTTCCTTTACGATTCAAGGACAGAAATGACAATTCCTGATCAATTGGAGAATATTACCAGTTATTAGGATTGAAAAGGAAATAACACTTAATAAATAATCAATTGTTTTCATAATAAGCCATGCAACCAAATAATGCAACCGTTTGAAAATCTGAAAACTGGTGTGCAGTAAGTAAGTGATTTAGTAAAAGAAAAAGTATTAACTGAATTATTCTACACATTGTATGATACCTGGACAAAAGGTAACGACTCTTAAAGACAATCATTGCAACAAAACATGAAAGAAACACATTAATTCACCTCCTCTAGTTAGTACCTTACACAGTATTCTCTCCAGACATTATGAAATAACATGTTAGGTATCATGTGACCTTTATTGTGTCGTAAAATAAAACGTTTAATGTTGAAACGATACAAATACACACTTGTAGAGATCTTAAAAAGTAGCATGTACAGGCCCTGATAGCGTTGTGCCCTCATGATAAAAGTTCACCCATAGTGAGATGAGTGTCCTCCTCAGGAAGCACACGTCACATTTCAGTGCAGTTCCTGTGTGTGTGTGTGTGTGTGTGTCTGTGTTTACGAATAAGTGTGTCTTTCTGCTCTCGATGAATCATATTTGGTAGTCAAACGAGCCTCAGCATCGACCCGGCGGTCTCTGCAGCTGCTTCCAAAGGGTCAGCATCTCTTTGGGACTCCTCCTGTGCACGAGCAGAACGGACCTGTAAGCGCACGGGTTCCGCCTGTCTGACGCCGGGAGGTCGAATGTTAAAAAGCCCGGGTGATGGCTCGGGGAGAGACCCAGTCTGTGCATGCACATGCCGAGGTACACGTCGTCTATCGGGAAGAGGCGCACCTTGTCGGACACGTCTTTCAGTCGCAGCGCGAGCGAGCCTGAATACACCACCCCTCCCCCGCCGGCGTAGGGCGGGTACGCGCCTTGGTAGAAGCGTTCCGGGATGTAGTATTTGGCGGACGGCTCGCGGATCGGCCTGGCGTTGTAGATGACATCCCCCACAAACAAATCCAGCTCGCTTTTGTTTGTGTACGCTTTCCACAGGTTGTGCTCTTCCCACTGCGTGTTCAGGTAATCGAGGAGGGCACCTGTTCGAACGAAGACATCGTCGTCCCCCTTGAACACAAAGATGGCGGTGGGGCAGTACTGCCTGAGCCATTCCCAGAACAGCAGGTCCTTTAGGGTCAAGTTGAAGAAAGTGTCTCTAAAATCCCACTGCAGGATATCCCCGTGTTTCTGGCTCTCGATCTCCAGGAGGTTTTCCAGGTCCGGCCGAGGACCTGAACTTGGGTCCTGCCTCCCGAGGAGAAACACAGTGCGCACTAATCCGCCCTTCTTGTTTGATTCCCCCTTCACCAGGCCGCTGCGCCCCCACGTTTCGCGGATGGCCTGCCTGTTATCGAAGTTCCCCGCTTGCGATTTGACGGCCATGAGGAGCATGGGAGACTCCACACCCGAGCTGCTGCTGCTGCTGCTGTTCCTCCTGCACGTCTCAGGTTGATTGATAAGGAGGGGGTACTCCCTGCAGTGCATTGCCATGACGAATGCCCTCATTTGCTCAGGCAGGCCGTTGAAATCCTGTATACGAGGGAGCGAACACTTGCGCGTCATGCACCCAGAGGAGCATTCATCTTCGATTTCTGAGAAAAGCTTAAATTTCGCGGTTGCGTTCCCCCGCAGTATTGGGTTGTGCTGACGGTCCCAAGCATGCTGCAACTGGTTCCACAGTGCACTGTCCTCCAGACGGAGGTTCCAGAAAGGGCCAAGCGGGTGAGAGGCCAGGGCAGCGGAGTGAGCAGAAACCCCAGACGCGACGTAGTGGACGTTTACTTTCGGAGGCGTGTAGGAGATGGTGACGAATATGGACACCGTGATGTAAATGAGAAGGTGGCCGGTCATCATGCAGGGGAGCAGGCACATGCAGAGCAGTCTCCCTTTGCATTTGCAGCATTTGCCCATCGCCTTCGGTGCACACATGTCCAAAAAACAGAAGGCATGATTTGAATAAGATCATAAGCAGAGAACACAGGTTTCAATTGAACTCTTTACTGACTAAAACCCAGGGTGGCATGGGTGCACCTGAGAGGTGTTAACACGGCAGCTAACCCACTGGAGCGGTCTCCTTGGTGACGGCCCACCGAGGGTTATTATGCTCTGTCTACACACAGAGCATCACCCTCTGCCTACTTGCTGATGGACACACAGGCCCTGAAGACACGGTGTGGAACATGTGACGGGAATGTACTAGATTGAGTCCTAATTTTAGACTTGTTTTCAGGGGAATATTTAGCCATTTCATTTTTTGCCATTGTGCATTTACCAAACGATCTAATCCCCCTACATGTAAAACATTGTCTTTTCCACATAGATGTGAATGTGTATACATGGAGTCCACCGACAATGTCCCGTGTGTTTGCACAAAACCCCTTTCTGAGAAAGACAAAGTAATCGCAATACTCACAGGTGTGTGAGCCGCTTCGGATCGCTGTAGAAGACACAGTGACTCGTGACGCGTTCCACTTTAAAAAAGAAATCCGGCTCGATTATAATCTCGATACAGCGCGAAGCATTATTTACGTCCGCGACGATGAAAGATAACGAAAGGCATCCTTCAGGTCGGCCCCTCAGCGCAGTGTGGCCGCGGCTGAGCAACAGGTCCCCGGGTAGGTGCGCGCACCGAGCATGCGCATCGTTGGCCCCTCGTCACCACGGCGTGTGATGTGGAAAATAATCACAACATCACCGCGGGCTCGTTGCCGCCTATTGACGGAGGGTCGATTCAAACGCGGGATGCAGGTGTATCTGGATATGAATTTCTCCACAGAGGTTTGATTTGACTTGATTTGCATGGAAGCGCCTGATGATCTTTGCCTGCATATTTGCATGAGTTGGCCGTGTGACGTATGAAACGATCATTCATAAGCACTTTGTCAATCGTTAATGGTTCAACATTTACCTAAGGGCCACTTTTACAAACACAGACGGCAGGCAGGTGTCCATACATATACTAGCACGGTATTTATAGTGCTATATGTGCATGAAGTTTAGAAGGAAAATTGCTAAAGGAGGATAGCATTTAAAAACAACTTCATGAATAAAATAACTGAAGAGGAGATATAAAGTTTAGGTTTTTACTAATCCGTTTAGTTACCATTGACTATGCTGTTGCCTGCAAATCGTATATCATATACAGAATATAACCATTCTAGTACATTGCCTTTTTTGCGTTATGCATTCACTGTCAACATGTCATATAATTGTGTTTGTGAGCTTTTTGGTGGAGGGGTGTTAACCACCTGGTAGTTCTGAAAACGGAAGCATTGCAAAGATAAGCACATATCCTATTTGTAATCTGTTTTATTTAATTAATTAGATTTCATTGACGAACTACAGTATGACGCAACTGCAAAGAGGACAATCAAGGTGCCGATTTAAAAAACATCACCGACATACCTTCGCACGTAAAGACATTTGATGGGCGGAAGCCCCGACCAATAGAACACACGTCTGGCAACAGGTTACCGGCTGAACTCAGGGAATCAGCCAATAGGAAGGAGAGGAGGCGGGCTTTGTTGCCCTCAAGCCTCCGCTCATGTTGTACCGTGCGAGGCGATACATGTTCGGTTGCGCTTTGAATGAGGGGCGATCATCCCGGTGGCTCAGAGGTGGAAAATACAGTTTAAAGTCTCTCTGGGTGCATTTAAAATGAACAATGAGGCTTTTCTGACAGGAACCCGACGAGCTGTTCGCTGCCCTCTCATCACCGCGTTGGGTAAGTGTCTTCAACAGCGTGTGGCGAATTTGATTTGCGACAAAAACACACACACACACACACACAGCAGCAGCAGACCGGCTCTGTGTTATTTGTCACAAACTAGCAAGCTTGCTAGCGTATTTTTTCGCACTCTTTTTCTTTTCGGGGGGGGGGCGCCGCCGCGCTTCCAGTCGTGTCGAGACAAAGAAACCTGACTATTTTCACCGTACGCGCGACTAGGAAGAGGACAGGGAAGACACCCGGAGAGAGGGACTCGTTCGTTGTAGCTTGTCAAAGTCCACGCGCGCTGGCGGTTTACGGCGTATCGCCGTTAGTAGCGTTAGCTTATTCTTCCCACCGTGTGTGTGTGTGCGCGCGCGCACTCACGCGCGCGCATGCGTGTGGTGTACCTGTGTGTTATGTGTATGTTTTTTTTTTAGGAAGACTTAGTTAACCCAAACAGTGTCTCTCTCTATCTCTCTCTCTCTCTCACACACACAAACAAACGGATACTAACACGTTACGAGGCGATGCAGGCAAAATAGCGTTGCACACAAGGCCCCCCGGTAGCCGTGCTCCGCATTCCGAGTTGACGTTACCGTTGTGTACATCGTGGCCACAACGGCACGTTTTGTGCTTGAGCGATACACAATAAAAAGGCTCCCGCACACGGCCAGGTTTTGTGGCGGGGATTCCCCGTCGGATAAGCTCTTACGAGCTCAGGCTTCACCCCCTTTTGTGTAGCCTGTCCACTTTTAGCAACGCTTCCCACATTGTTTTTGTGATCCATTATTTTGATAAATCACTGCCCCCTCCCCCAAATGACCCCGATCAAGGTGACGACTCCTTACACCATGTTATTCAAACGCTGTGCTGCCCCCCCCAGACTGCTTTCATTCTGGCATCAAAGCCTTCAGTTATTGTATTTCGCTGTCCCTGATGCACAGCGTGCTTCAGTGTTTGGACAACGAGCCGCTGGAGCGGGTTCTCCTCAGGAATGGTCTGACTCCTTCTGAAAAGCCATTCATACTCGTGCACTAATTGTAAGCGGTCCAAGGGTTAAGCCTGTGAAATGCCTTCTCAGAAGGAGCTTGGGCTTTCAGAGTACCGTGGTAAGGACAGTTATTCCTTCTTTACCCTTATAATCTAATTGATCATGAATCTGCACATGTTCGTTTGGAGAGAAAGGAAAAAAGTAGACTCATTTTCCTTCGTTTTAACCGTTAAATTAGAATATTCTTTGTAGGTATGTGTTTCCTCCTTACACCGGAAACTGGATCTAGGTAATAAAACGACAGCTAAACGATCAGGTGAGGTTAGACTTGCGGATCTGATTTCTCTCTGATCTAAATCCGTAAACCGCTCACCAGGGTTTAACGCCGTGTGACGCTGCTCACTTTTGGTTGGTTTCAATATAAAGATGAGTGCACTAGGATTAGAGAAGGATTAGATCAGATATGGTCATAGGATTTTCATCTGTGACACAAAAAAACCTCAACACATGACACACAATCTACCCCTGTCATTTGGAGCGAAATAGCTAATTGTGGAAATACTGTGAATGTTTTTGAGTCATGTGGGCAGATGGATGACTGTAATATAGACATATGTCACTGGAGCTGTGAAACTGGTGTATGTGGTGAAATGCTGCTGGATGAAGTGTGATATATGTGTCACCCTGTTGCCAAAAACGAGTTGTTGTTGTTGAAAGTAAGTCCCACATTTTCCCTGATCGAAGTTTTTCCTCCACACGATCTATAAATGTCACTTTTAAACATATTATACTGCTACTCTATCTAATATATTATTAGATTATATGCTTATATATTTTTATAAGTACTGTTGGCACATGCAGCATGTAATCAGATATTTCCTAGTCAATAACGCCTACCAATAAGTCTGTGATGTGAACGAGTTAGTGTTTTTGCAAAGTGACCAAACTGTTTGTGCCAACAGAAGAGCTTCCCATTGTTGTTCTAATGGTCAAGCAGCATTGCACAAGGGCACAGCGACGTGTGCATCGGCTGTAGATTGTGTTTCAGGAGCAAATATTCACCAGAGGTTGACCGACCGGGGAAGGAAAATGGCTGAACGTTGGAAATAAAGTTGCTTCAAACCTGCGCAGTGCAAAGAATGCCAGTCGGTCCGTACAGTATGTGCAGTAGGAGCGCTAGCGGCAGGGGACTAATGGCTCCAGTTCATGTGTCATGTTTGGAAATAATTGATGTTATTGTCGAGAGAAAGTGTTATGCAACGAGTTGATGTGTCATTCCTCTCTTTGTGTCCCATCTGTTTCTTCTAGGCTTCTTTGGACTTACTCCGCTGGCTCCCATCGCTTTGTGCTTATGATATGGCGTCTCCCCAGAGATCTCAAGACTAATGTCTTAGTTCTGCATAGATATAAAGTACATACATACTACAAATACACAGAAAATCCACTGCTGGAATTCAGAGAACGACCCATCACCCTGTAGCCCGGTGCTTCCCCACTGCGCATATCTCTTTACATCAAAACACGCCCAACACACACAAACACATACATCCGTACACAAGCCACCATGTCTTCCATCCTCCCCTTCACTCCCCCGGTTGTGAAGCGCCTGCTGGGATGGAAGAAGACCTCGACGGGGACTGGAGGAGCCGGAGGAGGCGTCGGAGGAGTAGGGGAGCAGAACGGAGGAGGACAGGAGGACAAGTGGTGTGAGAAAGCTGTGAAGAGCTTGGTGAAGAAGCTGAAGAAGACGGGGCAGCTGGACGAGCTAGAGAAGGCCATCAGCACGCAGAACAGCAACACCAAGTGTGTGACCATACCCAGGTGAGACGAGGACACGCCCGCCCCGTCGCTCTATCGATTTTCTGCCGTGTGCATGATGCACAACGTGGGTGTTCGCAGAGGATTGTAACTTTGTGTTTCAAGGTATTCGGTAAAATACACACTTGTGTACATGTTGATGGTGCACACGCAAAATATAGGAGGACGGCTTTAATTAGTCATGAATGCAATTTCAGCAAATGTGCCCCTATTTTTGTTTGTGACGTACCTCCCATAATCAACTGCTGATCACAACAAATTGTATTTGCACTAACGCGCTGCAAGCTGTGCTCCCATTCACACACACACACACACACATGCGCAGTACCTTTGCACTGGTGAACCATGATGCCGGCGAGGTGTGCAAACACACATCAAAGCGGTTGGCAGGCTGATGGGCCGCTACAAGCTTGCAGAAAGAAAGTTTCATTGTGCAACAGTCGGCCCACTTCCTCATGCCGTTGTGCCATAGGTTAGCGAGGCAGAGGAAGTGAAACCTGATTGGAGGAAGCAGATGTCCGACACGTGTCAACAAGTCAACTTATGGAACGTGTTTAGGATTCACTGCCTGACAACGTGTAGGATTATATATATATATTTTTTCCCGGTTGACTTAACTGGTGTATCAGCTCGTGGCGGACTCTGGCGGGTCTCACTCATGCATTTGAGTAGTGTGGTTGGATCGGTGCTCGACATTGGTCCCGCTAAATAAGAACGCTAACGCAGCACATCTAGTTTGAAGCATATACGGCAAACTGAAAGGCTGGCAACTTTATAGTAGTAGGAGTATGACGTACTGTGCAGTAAACAAAATATTCATGTACGGACACAAGAACACGCAGAGGACTGCTGGTGATTGTTCTGCATGGCGCTGCGCAGGAGCCGTTGTTCTTTTTTAGAAAACAAAACGTATTGAAGTTTAGGAACTAACACAAAGCTGACAAAGAAGAATCATGAAAACACTTTATTACATAATATTTCAATTCCCTGCGTGGCCACAGTTTAGTTTTTTGTGAGGGTTTCCTCCCTTTTTATATCTGTACATCTCAACACACTCTGGAAATAGAAGCTTTGTGTCCTCACTTTCCCTTTTCCCGATTTGAAATCATTTTGACTTTTGAAAGTAAACTTGGTTTGTGTAAATGTCTAAAACCTGCTGGTACTGTAGATCCCTACCCTGAATGTTTGCAGGTTTCGCTGTAGATGTATCCCTTGTCGTGTGCCGCGACATGAGCCAAGTCCCCCGGACCGGGTGAAACCTCATTGCGACAAAGGTGGCGGAGTCGATAGGGGCCCCGCGAGGAGCATGTGATCCACGGCGATTAATCCCCCCCCAAACATTGCCAGAGAAAGGAGAAACCCACAATGCTCTCTGGAGATTTGTATGAGCGCCCGCTTTCACATTGTCTGTCTAATCTGCTCATTTCTTTCCTAGCCCGTGTCTCAATAATAGTATTAGTCTCTGCAGAGGCGTTTTCCCATGACCTTTTGCACACGCATGTTGGTCACAGATCAACCCACCTGGAGGTGATGGGGCGTCTTGAACCTCTTGTGTATAATGCCGCTACCTCAGCAGACAAAATCTGTAATAGAAACTATTCCAATGAAAACCAGGTAAATCTGGTACGCGTTTGGTCAGATCGGATTGCGTATCTCCCCCCTCTCCCCCACGCTTTGTGAAACGGCTGAGCGGTTGCAGAGGTGACAAGGAGAACAAACATGGCAGCCGCAGGGGTTATCAGAGCAAATGCACTTTGTGTGTTTACGTTTCGTTTTTACAGTTAAGGGGTTCATGCTCTTCGACTACAGTGGTATCGGAGTGCGATGTTCCTGGTGGCTGGATAGTTTCTCAGCAATGCACTGAACTAATTACACCCTCCTAAGTATTAATGCATGTTTTTCCACCTTGCATCGATGTTAATAGATTAATGTTATAGAAAGTCTAACTGAACCATTAAGCACAAGAGAGCTGCAGTAAGACGATAGCTGTTACAAAAGGAAAACACAGCAATTGAGCAAGATTACTCTGCAGCATGTATGGTTGGATAGTGGTCTCAATTTGTGGACGTATGGATAAAAAGGGTGGGGGGGGGGGAGGCTGCAGAAGTAGAACCACGTGAGGCTGAAGTGTGACGCCGGAACTCTCGTGGCGCTTCACTCTGAGGAATGTAGGCCTGATAGCAGCTTAAGAAGTGGTGCTGATAAGGTGATGCTGGTTCCTCTTAGGCATTCACAAGAACACCGTTCGTCTTTCACCTTCAGAAGAACACATTTGTTTAGGTTTTGTTTCATGTGTGCTCTTTCCAGTCTGTATATGTATAGACTGGATGAGTCACCTGCTTTTTTTTGCATTAGCGGTTCATGTTTGTGCCGATGCAGTTTGTGAAAAAAGGTTCTTAGTATACAAATACATAAAATACACAATTGATCAAAACGTAAACCGATGACCAAACCAGCGGATGACCAAAAGGTTTTTGTCCCCCCCTCCTCTCGTGTGTGTGTGTGCTGGAGGATTTGTAGATTTCTCGAGTGGTTGCAGGAACAAAACCCAAACGGAGGAAGCGTGTAACGCTCAAAAGTGTCTGGAGATAGCGGCACTGGGTAGCTCGTTGCGATGGGACTTAAATGCGGATGATTTTTATTTTTGTTTTTATTTTAATCCGCACACAGATTATAGGTGTGTTTTTCACAAAACTCCTTTTTGACTCTAAATTTTAGGTTATTGGTTTTTTTTCATGGTAACCGGGTTTTTCACAAAAAAGGGGGGGGGGGGGGGGGGGGGGCGTGCCGGTGACACCGCAGGGATGCAAGGCTCCACCTGCGACGGTCCACGCAGGACTTGTAGCTGCAGGACTCTGCGAGTGGGCCAGGGAGAGTCGATAAAGAAGGCTTCCCAGTAGGGATGGGCGGCATACCGGTTTAAAATGGAACTTTTCACACGGCGCAGTGGTGGGAGCTTCTTGTCTTACGTGTATTGAGATTGAGTCATAGTTATAATTTATATACTCTGCCAAATATGGGTGTGACGTCTGAACTGTGTTCCCCTTTTTGTTCACTGGATGGCGCTCCACTAAACACTGATGGGCTCGGGTATTTAGCTTGTAGATTCACGATGCTTGTCAGGTGTTTGACCCTGGAGGGAAAAAGGGTTTCGACCGCTAAACCGAATGTTTATATCTATAAGAAACTGTTGCGGGATAAATTGATTCTAAACCGTACCAGTGGACTCGATCTGATGTTTCCCCAATTTTGAAATTAATTAATAACCCACAGCTAATGCTCTCTTGACAGGGTAAAACACACAACAGTGCTGTTGCTGCGTACAGCTCGCCCACTATCACAAGAAGAATGAACTCTGTCACTACGTGGAAACACGGAAAAGGGCGATGCAGGAGGAACAACGAGAGACCAGAGATGCAATAACACAACTTGTTGTGTGCGGTTTGTAGGTTCTTGGTTTTGAAATATCCGTTGAATCAGGAAAAAATTAATTGCAAAGTTTGTCGAGCAGCTGGTATTGCCTCTGGTGGCAAAACAAGAAGCCGTAACAGCTGACACGCTAACAAGCCAACTCGATGGCCTGTTGCGAGCAAGTTGGCCAGCGGCCGGGGAACAATGAGGGGTGAGCAGCTGCTCAGGTGGCCGGCGGTGCTTTTTACTCGGGGGGGAAAAAAATACTGTGATACCACCAGAATCTTACAAAATACCATGATGTGACTTTTTGGCCGTACCACCAAGCCCTACTTTGCAGACCAGGCAGTCGCCTCGCTCCAATCCGACAGCCGGATCTCCTCCGTATGGTCATGCTGCGGAGCGCATTGGTTTTGTCTGTTGTCCGTACGTACACATCTTGTCCAATCTGTATTTTTTATTTCCTCATTCACATACGTACGTCACATGTCGTCTGATGGATAATGATGGTAATCTGCACAAACATGATCTGTTGTGCAATCAGGCAATGTGGAAAGTTACTTCAGGAGGAAGCCGAAAAAAAGCAACCGGAGGATGAAATTCCCGTTTTTCTAACACGCGGTCCCAATTCCTACTGCCCCGCATCACCTGATCGCACCACATCACTGTCTGTCCCATTTAGATTAGTCCCATGATCACCTGTCATCCAGTTGGTGTCTCTTTTTGAATAACCCGGGGTTGGATCTTTGTCATGTCCTTCCTTGGTGGTTGAAAGAGACCGACTGTACATGTTTGTGATTTCATCCTACTGGTTTGGAATGAAACGTCTCATGTTTACCATCTGTTCTTTTATTTCTTTTATCTTTTTTTCACTTGTCCTGTGTGCGTGTGTGTGTGTGTGTGTGTGTGTGTGTGTGTGTGTCCATGTGTATGCATATCCTTTGTGTGTGTGTGTGTGTGTGTGTGTGTGTGTGTGTTTGTCTGCAGTAATTGCTCAGATCTATGGGGTCTAGGCTCAGGCCACACGATAGAGCAGTGGAACTCCACAGGCATGTTCGGATACCATGACCACAGCAGGTGAATACACACAATGACTCAACAATCGCATCACATCTTATCACTCATTCATTGACTGTTTATCCGTCTGTCACTGCAAGCTGTGTGTGTGTGTGCTGGGTTGTTTCTGTTTATTAAGATCACAGCGACTATCTACTATGTAATTGGAACCCATGATACAAGCTTTTGATGACCTTCCCTGCATGGACTTCATTTGAGTTGCAACATTCAAAATATATTCCATTAAGCTAAAGTCTTGGCTATTAGTAACTGAGTCTCTCACACTGGTTTTACATATAACAACATCAAAAGCCTTCTAATTTCCACTGGTTGGAGAGTTAGTGGGCTTTTTAGTTTTACCAAAGCAGAAAACTACAAGTACAAACGTCAGCCTATAGAAGCTTTGTGTTGTCCTCCTCAGGTCCCTGGACGGCCGCCTTCAGGTGTCCCACCGCAAGGGCCTGCCCCACGTCATCTACTGCCGCCTGTGGAGATGGCCCGACCTCCACAGCCACCACGAGCTGAGGGCCATCGACTCGTGCCAGTTCGCCTTCAACCTCAAAAAGGATGAAGTGTGCGTCAATCCCTACCATTACCAGAGAGTGGAGACGCCTGGTAATGATCTTCAAGACCTGTTTGTGGGTGTGTGTGTGCGTGTGTGTGTGCGCGCGCCTGTGACATGGTTCTTATCCTGCTGGCACTGCTGGCTGAGATCGGCAAGGTGCCTCTTAATAAGTCTTTAAATGTGTGACGGTTTGGAGTGTTTGCGTAGAGAAACCCACTCTGTGTGTGTGTGTGTGTGTGTGTGTGTGTGTGTGTGTGTGTGTGTGTGTGTGTGTGTGTGTGTTGCTGGTGTTTGCGTAAGAAGATAAATGTTGTACATTTTAATAATGCTATTTTTGATCTTGTACAGCCATTTGCCTTCGTCAATGACACTTCCTTTCTCTCGCCAGTGCTGCCTCCAGTGTTGGTGCCACGCCACACGGAGATTCTCACCGAGCTTCCTCCCCTAGACGACTTTACAAACTCCATCCCTGAAAACACCAACTTCCCGGTCGGCATAGACCCTCCTAATAACTACATTCCAGGTCTGTATGCAAGGAGAGAAGCAGAAACCTGCATTGTTTCATCCACTTCTTACCTTCGCTGCACTGCTATATTTGTACTCAACAGAATACTATTACTTTTGTTTCTAATGTACAATGCCTAATGCGTGCATAACCTTTATGTTGACCTGCAAGAGTTTACCGAGTAGTATTTCTGATCAGACTTTCTGTGTTTGTACAGAAACTCCTCCGCCTGGCTACATCAGTGAAGATGGAGAAAACAGTGACCAACAGATGAATCAGAGTATGGAATCAGGTAAAGTTTTGTGCGTGAGCAGCTGAAGCTGCCGTCTGCCTCAGCGGTTGGGTCACAAAGCCAGTTTTGACAGCCTCAAATTGTACTCAAAGGACTTATTTTCTTGTGTTACAAAGATGTGTTGTTCCAGCATCGCTGCAAATCCGTACTAAAGCTACAAAATGGCGATATGTGATTTTTTTTTTTTTTTTTTTCCTTTTTCTTCCAAGGCTCACCTGCAGAAATGTCACCTGGCGCTTTGTCACCTGTCAATAACAGCCTGGGTAAGACTGCTCTGTCTGTTCTCCAATGTTATTGCAGGTTGATGAAGCCCTTCAAAGAGCGCTAATGTGTGAGAAAGGGTGTCATTTGTCCAACATTTAATTTTGTCCATAAATGAATGAAAAGCAGATTAAACTCAAACCAGAAACAGTCGTTGACTAGTAAAAAATCCCCCGTGTGTGTGTGTTGTGTGTGTGTGTGTGTGTGTGTGTGTGTGTGTGTGTGTGTATATATATATATATATAATTCTAAAAATATATTTCCAGACCTACAGCCAGTGACGTACAGCGAACCAGCATTCTGGTGCTCCATCGCCTACTATGAGCTAAACCAGCGGGTCGGGGAGACGTTCCACGCGTCGCAGCCGTCACTCACGGTCGACGGCTTCACAGACCCCTCCAACTCTGAGCGCTTCTGCCTCGGCCTTCTCAGCAACGTGAACAGGAATGCCACCGTTGAAATGACGAGGAGACACATAGGTGAGCACGCGCCCCTCGTTTGTTACGAATGTAATGGTAGGGAAAATCATTTTTAAAAATGCTGCTGGATAGATTTTGAGTAATTGTTTCTGGCTCCCGGCGTGCAGGTCGTGGTGTACGGTTGTATTACATCGGAGGGGAGGTGTTCGCCGAGTGCCTCAGCGACAGTGCCATTTTTGTCCAGAGTCCCAACTGCAACCAGCGATACGGCTGGCACCCGGCCACAGTCTGCAAGATACCGCCAGGTTCATGTGCACTCATATTGTTTCTCCACCTGATATTGATGAAGTGAAGCTTGAGAAACTAGGGCAGGGCTGTATACCGGTTAAACCGGCATTGGATTTCCTTCCGGTAAGAGTTTTTTTTACATACCGGTGTATAACCGTAACAACGGAGCTACTTGTCTGTCTACATGCATTGCGATTGAGTCCGGCATCCCTTTTTGCCGTGAATGAATGAACGAATGTGTTTGCTCAAAGAAAAGACGTACTGTGATATACCGTCAGGATCTTTTTGGCCATACCGCCCAGCCCTATGAGAAGGGCGCCAATGCCCTCCACAAGGTGACAGTTCTTCTCCGAGTCTCACCCACACGCACTGACTCATCTTTGCACGTGCAACTTTGCACATTGCATCCCTGGCCAAATGAGCGGTGTGAACAGTGTCATTAGTAAGGCAGGATCCTGAACACGTTCAGGGGCGGGACCGGGGGAGAATAATACACCCACACCTCACAATGATCTGCTCGCTGCGTTCAAGGGATCTTCGTTGAAATAGCAACGTAAAATCTGATTTGTATTAAACTTTTTAATTAAAAAATGTATTATATTATCAGGGATGTAACAAAAATATCCTGGAAAGATTCCATTGTTTGTTGTTCTCATTCCTCCTTTTTTTTCCTTTCAGGCTGTAATCTTAAAATATTCAACAACCAGGAGTTTGCTGCACTGCTGGCCCAGTCAGTCAATCAGGGATTTGAGGCAGTGTACCAACTAACCAGGATGTGCACCATCAGAATGAGCTTCGTCAAGGGCTGGGGAGCAGAGTACAGGTGCGTTTCTTACTCACTCACTTACAATTTACTTGACTTGATGTTGTAATAATGGCTTTTGGCTTAAAGCTTAACTTCTGGGGTACTGTGCCTCTTGAATCTACAATGTAATTTGTAAGGTGTGGCTTTGCCCTTTTATTGAAATAAACATAGTTACGCTAGAAATTCTGTAGCAGCATGCATTCTTTTTTTTGAAAAAAGATAAAAACAGATTGCTTGTCAGTAGTTTTTTGGCAATGAATTTTGAAAAAGGGGATGGAAAACATCTAAATCCAGTCCAGACCTCGACATGGTCTCGAACCCTCAGACAATAAGCAGTTTAGGTTTCATCACTGGATCTTAAACCACAGCTTCCTGTGCACAGATAAAATATGTGTTAAAACCCGATCCCATTATTAAAAAATAAAGAAAAAAAAGAATGACTTTCTCGCTACTCGCACATTCAAACACTACTACTGGTAATACTTTTATGTTTCATTAGTATGTGTCCATCACTTCAGTGCTATGCGAACAGGGAATAGGGCCAGATTATAATTATCTACTAAATGCTGCTCTGGTTGTTACTAGCATTCTAATCCCTATATTCCCATAACGTATCATAAACCATCCTATTTTGACCTTGCTAACTTTCTCATGCCTCATTGTTGTCATTATGTTTGAATACCTACAGGCGTCAGACAGTAACCAGCACTCCCTGTTGGATTGAGCTGCACCTCAACGGCCCCCTCCAGTGGCTGGATAAGGTGCTGACCCAGATGGGTTCACCATCGGTGCGCTGCTCCAGTATGTCCTAAACGGGTTCCTGCCGCCGCAGAGCCCATCTGACACTTCACCACATTCGAGCAGCATTTCCCCAAAGGAAGACCCCCGACGCAGCAACAATATTATCATGACGAGGGGAGGAAAAAAAGGTGGATTTCCCACGATGGACCTGGAGGATGGGAGAATCGCCGATGGACAATGGTGGAACGTGGGCCCCATCACCTTTTGGCTGCGTTGGATTAAAATTAGGAGGATGTTCTAGTAATCATGCACCTAATAATAATTGAAACCACCCTGCAATATCAAACTGACCAGAGTGACGTCGTCATGCACCGTATTTAATGTTTTTGGTATTCTACACAAGGCTCTGATCCAGAAAGCGTCGCGCTCAGTTTTGTGACACCGGCGGTTTCCGGGATTGAGCGCGTGACCTTCTAGTCACTCCCCCCACGTCCCCACCCTCCCCTTACGGCTTCACTACCCATGTACTACAGCACAACTTTGATTCAGCATCAAGGATTCTACACCTGGTTGACCGGCAGTAGGGCTGCCACTCCAGGCTCCGCGCCCGGACCTCGGTTCTTTGGGTTTTCTAGGTGGCCAACACCTTCATTCCGTATTCACCCGACACGCCCGCTTCTCCTGCATCTCTCCTAATCAGTACCGTGTCGCGGACTCAGACCGACCCGAGTAAGCATGCGGTTCTCCTCTCTGGAAGGGGTGTGACCCCCACACCCCCGTCTCCACATGCACGTGCACAGTTAAACACAAGTAATTTCCTCTGTCAAGTCGGTTGGTGTCGTTCAGCGGTTGGTTTGTGCGCTGACGTGCCCCTCTTCTGGATCTTCACGCAAACGTTCCAGTTGTTTTCCGACTGTAATAAAGGCGTCCAACATTGGCCGCTTCCAACACATCGCCCCTCCTGGTTTCCGGTGGGGGGAAAAATATTGCCCTGCTTCTGCCCCCTACCGCTCCCCCGCCCTCCACCTGCCTGTTCTTACACTTAAATTCTCTTCATCCACTTTCTGCTCTTCTATTATCTTAAGGTGAAGGAGAATTGTATGTTGGGCTTGGAGCTGTAGTTTTAGGACTTGGCATGAATGCAGTTAACTGATCGTTATGTCGCCCCCTGCTGTCCGAAAGAAAAATGTATAAATACACGTCACTTGCGATTCAGACCGACGCAGACATGGCATTGACTATATGCTTGATATGAAGCACGGTTCCCCCGTTATTTACACTTTATTGATCGGAAGAAAAGTCCTGCAGGGACTTAAAATGGCTTCTGCGCTGTACTTGCACTGCCCCAAATTACGCACACTTGATATTGCTAGAAGAAAGTTGCCTTTTGATTTTAAAATACAGCAAGATATGCTTTGAAATGTATAGATGAAAATGTTGAAAATCTCAATTGAAATCAAGACAAAAGATATCTTCCATATTTTTAAATGTTCACTATAAAGTTTTTCTTCCGTACGTTGTCTGAATTGGCTTATTAAAGAGCATTTATTTGATTTTAATAAATGTTTTGCGATCTCAAAGCCAGCTGGTGGCTACATTAAAATTGTTTAGAATTTAAGCTTTAAGTATTTCACAATCTGGCTGTACTACACAGCGACTATTTTCTTTACACGTTGTTAAAACCACATTTTTCTATTTTCATGTATTTTTTTTATATATATGAATGTATTTAAGATCTTTAAGCATTTCTTCCCTTTTTTTAGAATTCAATATTTTTTTAGAATATGCCCTCCATTGAAAATGACCACAGCTTGATGGATAAATGAAGTTTGTACCAAGGATCGGTGAATTTCCCACTTTCCAAATGTGTCGGAAACCATCCTATCACAAACATACACAACAAAGACTGAATTCATGCCGATCCACTTACGTCACAAACATAATTGCTGATGAAAACCAACCAGTTTTCCAGCCTACAGTTGAGTTTCCTTTTATCAAGAGGTTTAAACTCTCCTATTTTCATTGTGGGGTTTGGTTAGTTACAAATTGTTGGATTACAACAAAGATCTGTGTAAAAAAAAAAAAAAAAAACATAGACTTCCATTCAGACTTTTTAGAGATTCTAAGATGTAATCCAGCAGTTGGGCTGCAGTATTATTTCCAATTATAAAAGCAGTTGGTATTTATTTTAAAAAGCTCTGCCTTTGGAAGGTGAACTTGTGGGAATCCGTCTTTACAGAGGAAGCTCCAACATGCAGCCTAAACGCCGCTGCCAAATCGAACCCTGTGTTTGTTTGATTCTCATTACTGCTCATGTATGTTTTTAATTACAGCGAGCGCGTTCACATGCACACACGATACTTTTGTTTTTTCCATTCAAGGCCTCTTCACTCTTAAGCGTCTTCCGCCCTTGTATCCCTGACACGTAAGCCAAACGATGGCTCTAAATATGCACAGTGAGCGTAACCTCGCCCTCCCTCGCTCTGCTCGCACCAGATTTCACCTGTTCCAATTACCGTGGCAGAAAAACCCGACGGGGATCTTAACGCTGCTCAGTCATTCCGGCGTGCTTGTCAACACGTTAACGTTTTCTCTTTTGATCAGTCTTTTTGGGGAAACTTGTTTTTCTTCATGCATAGAACATTCGCCTGGGTCAAATTTGTTCCACTTGTGAGCAGACTGAGATCAGCCGAAAGTGGCGTTGGTCTCTCCGTACGTGTCAGTCGTCTGTCCCGTCTTCTTGCTGGTCTGTATTTGGTTTATTAGGGGAAAAAGTTGACTTTACCTCGCCAAAGTGCATATGAAATTAAAATCGGGCGTTTCCTCTTAAGGGTTTTCGTATCACTGCTAACCCACACGTTTGCTCCATGCAGTGGCATCTACCGTTTGGGCCATGTGTGCAAACTCATTTTCTGATGGTTAGCTTTGCTGTTTTATGCATATTTCCAGGGTCCAACAAAAGCCTTCGTATCAATGTATTTTTTTAATTTTCGGTTTCTTTTTAAACGAGTGCCACCCAATATCGATCAACCAGCTGTTTTTAACTTTCGGAGAATTCCGTTTTGAGGACGGAAGATGAGACCAAGTTTGATGTCAGCCACATCTACACGTTTTGAGGGTTCGCATCCCTTTTTACAGATGCCATATTTTATTTTTTTCTTATTGTGATGACAATTGTGTATCCACAAACAAGCCTCTTTCTGATTAACTTTAGAGAAGGTTGCTTGTTGGAGAAAGTGAAGTTTCTACATGTCACTGGTGATGTTCTGTGTATAGTTGTACTTTTATTTTACAGTACATGCTGTTCCTTTTGTTTTTCTTTTCTTCTTGCTATCAAAGGAGCGTATTTCATTAGACAACAAGAAGTTAGTGTTTCTGTCTCCTTTAAACATTGATGACAATCTTCATACAGGCTTTCAGACTAGTCTTCATATACAAACTTCTTACAGTGTACACTAATAAAGCTGTTTCAATTCAACTCAACATTGTCGTGTGTTTCATGTCTGAAGTGGTGGTACTTAAAACAAATCCATATATAAACTTGGACTTCTTAATTTAATTGGTAGTGATTAAATTGAATCGTAACCAAGAAATGTAATAACTTTTATTGAAATTAATTATTTACAGTTCAGTGTTTTGTTTTGGGGGGGGGGGGTTTAGTGTTTTGAGTTTGATTCTTCAAATTCAAATAAATACAGAGTCAATCCGTGAGTAATGTTTGTCGATGTGCATTGATGTATATTCATTTGACAATATATAATCAATGTTTCCAAAAAATTCAGTATATTTATCAAAATCTATATTACATTTGTGTATGTACTTCTGATCTAATCAAAAGTAACTAATGAATGAACGGTAAAATAGAGACTCTTGATTCACTGTTGAAAAACAATAAGGATCAGGGGCATCCACGTTGTGCACAATTTTGCCCACAAAAAACGTAAAGGAAGTGTTAATATCAATGAGCTTGGCCGGTCCATAAACAATGTTCTCCCCGCAAACCTTTCAAGTAGGAATGTTCAGCATTTCCAAAAATGTATTCCGTCTTTTAATTGTCGCATTTGACATTCAAAATGAATACCATGTAGGCCACGTGTCATTATTAAACGCGTGAATGTCTTTAGTTTACTCCTACGCGCGTGCCCGCAGGGGGCGTGGCCTGTCCGTTAATTGGCTTGGCGGGAACCAGGTGCGGCGCGGAGGAGGCGAAGGGCCGCTCCGGAGTCCCGCCGCCCGCTCCTCCACCCTCCTGCTACTGACGTAGTTTAACGTTTGAGGTAAGCCCTCAGACAGATAATTGCACTGGGAAGTGACTGTAATTTAAATATCCACGTCACAACTGAACCACCCTAAAATGTAGCTGCTGCTCTGATTGTGTTTGTAACGGTGTCACGTGCGATTCCCTTTGACGGCCAGTAGAGGGCGTTCAAAGCGCATTAATGAGAGACCTTCCATTGAGATCTGTGTTCTCACCAAGTTAAGTCTCTATTGTTGATCATGTTGTAATCTCTACAAGAACTGTGATCCTGTTCTACTAGTATGTGTCATTTCCATCTTTGAATTTAACGTGATCCGCTTTTGAAACAAAAAATTTAGATTTGAGGCCGACAAGTTTGAGACTTTGGTTTTGAAGGTTTGGTCACTTACAACGTGGAAACTTGTATTGTAAAGCTTCTTTTTTTTGGTAAGAATAAGAAATTTCCTTTCAAAGCACATTCAACAAATACACACCTATAGTGTCTGAAAAATTCCAATCTGCCTTTAGTTCTGCCTGTAAGACTAACAATTATATTTCCATTTTCCTTAACACGCGCAAAGACATCCGATCGAACAAATAAATAATATGCTAATTTCACCCTCCTAAATAATTTAGATTTGTTTACTTTCAGCGGATAGAAACCTTTACCCCTCCCTTCTGTGCACAGTGCAGCAGGCTACTTAGCCCAGTTAAACATCTCAGAGACATTAAAACACATTTAAAACCCCTCGCAGTTAAGAGGTTTGGTGGACTGGGAGTGAACAGTCGTGTGCGCGCACACGGAAGGTGCGTGTAAAGCCGTTGTTCATTGACTCCCTGTCAGGAACACGCACGTTGGTGGACTTCATTAACGTGTAATTGAACCAAATTTAGCAAAATGGCAATTTTTCTTTTTTTTGTCTCAGGTCCCCCGGATCGATCGCTGTGCGCCCCCGCCAGCACGTGCTCACGTGCTCGGACGTTTTTGGCGCGTACGTTTAGTTTGCACGTGCACTCTCAACTGCTGGGAACCCACCTACACTTTCTTTCCTGGTGCATCTTTGGTGCACATCGCGCCACGTGTGCAGAGTACGCGTGTCTGCCCGTGTTACTGGGCTAAGTGACCCGTTTTCCTTCCATTACCAGAGCATCATTAAGCTGTTATTGCGGAGGCTCACCCTCCTTCCTCGTGCTCTGGATCTCATCCTTTCCCCTGAGCACCATTGCAGCACAGAGCAGTAAGCAGCATTTCCCAAACAAATTAATACCGTATCCTGAGCGTACCTAAACATTCTGGGAGGGTGATGCAGCCGGGTAATGGTGGCAGCGGTTTCTATCGCTCATGGTTGCAGAGAGGATTTCAGTTTATGTTTCTGAATGGTTTATAGACACGAGGAGGGTAATTCCTGTGACTGTGGCGTCCGCTTTATGGGCCGGATATTGATCGGACGGGCTGTAACCTTGCTGTCTCGTGCAGCGGCCGCAAATGCAAAATGCTTTCCAATAAGTATGAGAGTAATTCAGGTTGGTAAATTACAGTCGGCAGCAAACTGTACATATTGCAACAGGGAGCTTCCAGCAGCCTGTTAGTCTACAGTGTGTTATGGATTTCACACGAACACGCGGCCGGCTGCTGCGGGAGACTGATGGCCGTTTCCAAGTTCTTTGCTGGTAAGCATCTGCTGCTGAAGAAGAGAATATTCCGTCAATACCACTTTTTAATTAGAGTGGATCATTGCAGTGTAAGTATGGGCTTTCTCTGGTCGCTGTGTCAAGGATAGAACCCTGTTTTTGACGTTTTTCAACTGTTCAGTTACATTAAACATTCTAACATCATTTTGCACGTAAAGTTGTAAATGCTCATATTAAATCGCACATTTCACCAAAGCCCTTGATTAGTAACGTGTTGACTCAACTGTTACCGTTCATCTACATGTGTATGTCTACATAGCGGCGGCAGAAATCCTGCCTGTGTCTTTGGTCCTTTGATTCCTGGTGACATGACCGTGTAGTTCCTGACACACGGCCTGTGTGCTGACCCCAGACTGTCATCCATCATTAATATGAATTTTGTTTCGGACTTTGTTTTCATGCCGTCTGACGTCCTGTTGTAAGGTTCCTCACATTTCACCTAGCTGACCTTAACTTCAGACATGATACCTGTGTGTGTGTGTGTGTGTGTGTGTGTGTGTGTGTGTGTGTGTGTGTGTGTGTGTGTGTGTGTGTGTGTGTGTGTGTGTGTGTGTACTCTGTTTATTTCTTTGGAGAACAAACTCTCTTTACTTCTTGGCTGTGTGTTTTTTGGGGGGACACAGGACCTGTAGAGGGGTAATCATGTATAAGTTATGTTGGCTAATTAAGACTGGGCCCTAACCTATGGCTGACCCTGAGCAAATAACAATGCACCATCTAAAAGGCTTTGTACCTGTGGCCTCTTGGCCACACTGCAGGGTTGGATGTCCTGTGCGTGTGTGTGTGTGTGTGTGTGTGCGCGCGCTCTGGCTGGTAATGCAGTGCTCCCTTGATCTGGTAACTGGAGCACGAGGAGAGAAGAAACGAGAGAGCAAAGAGAAAAGGACAGCGGGAGAGTGAAGGAGAGAAAAGAAGGGGTGACAGAGAGAAAGCGAGTGACTCCTCGGTGAAAGAAAGTAAGGGAATCGGGAGCCCAGCCCATGTAATTAGGCCTAAATGAGTTTTCCACTGACTCAATGGGTCGTAGCGAGGCAGCGCTGGGACAAAGATAGACTGGAGGTCAGGGAGTCATCGAGTCAGGGAGCCGGGGGGGTGCTGTAGTCAAATGAAGAGAGGGGGCGCAGTAAGCAATGCTGGGACTGTAGGTATTCTCTCGTCTCGAGGGTCTTCAGAGCAGCTTCAGTAGTCTCACTGTTGGTGCTTTTAGAACAAAATCTCTGGGTCACTGTGTGGAGCTCCATCAGATAGAAGCTTCCCAAAACCGCTTTAATTAAAAGCCCTGCGCAGCAACAGTGAGTGACTTCACTTATTCTACCGGCTAAAGACAGCGCATGGATGTACATCTATTCCAAATGGGCCTTATTTCATTGTATACAGTTTGAAATGCCACACAGCCTGGATAATAAAACGCATCGTGCATGCTGCTTCACTCCCATTGCCTAATAGAACACTACATAGAATTGTGCCATCATCGATGTTATTTGAAACACATTAATTTATTACAGCAATATATTTACAGCATTCCACGAGGTAGTTATGTGCTGCTACCCCCCCCGTGTGGAAGGCTTTCCATGAGATTTTGACACCCCAAACTCGTGCTGTATGTCAGTATGATGTGCATATTTAGTACCTACACGTTGAATAAAGTTTATAAATAAAGCTTATCAGAAAATGTGTAAACTCTGGATTCTTCGGTGTGACGAGGGGATTGTTGGATTAACACTGTGGAGCAGAAGCTGGAGCCCCTGCTGTTGTACGGGTAGTTGCGTGTGTGTGTGTGTGTGTGTGTGTTCCCGCTGTGCTAATAATGTATCATTAGCTGATCAGTGTTGTTTGTCAATAACAAAGTGTTTATCATTACTATTAGGTTAACAATGTCAAGGTGACATTTGGCGTCATTTCATCACGAATCAGCTTATTCTCATACTGACATTTATCAATGTTGCCGTCAAAGGGCTGGTAGCTTGCAGCTCTCTGGATTATGACATTTCTTTTAATGCAGTGACCTGAAATGGGTCCAGCCTTTGTCTGTAGCTGCACAGAACGCCGTACAATGGCAATGCTCAGCGGCTTTGGCCTGGAGGTGTTACTGCTAAAGCCATTAAGTAAACCACTGCTGGTCCACTTCAGTACCTCCCAGCTCTTCTTTGGTCCCATATGGAGGACTCAAAACCAGTCCGACTCCTCACTAACCGACGATCCGTAAACCAGTGCCGCTAATGGCCAAATTGTTCTGGTTTTATTGTTGTTGTTTTTTTTTAAACAATCAATTTGGGATGTTGAGTTCAAACACGTTTCTTTCTTCTCATCGGTCAGCTGTGAGTTCTACATTATGAACCAACCGAGAGCCATTAAGAGCAGCCAGCAGAAGCTGTGTGGTCAAAATGACCCCGATTCGACCCATTGGTGACCTGCACTCAGGTCGGGTTCATAAGGTCACCGAATAACAGTCGGTGGTTGTTGAGAGGAGCAATAGAGAAAGTGGTTTATAGTAACTTGCTCCCTGAGCCAATAAGACCAGATCAGATTTAGCTGCAAATATACAAATGATTTTCTTCACAAAATCTTAAATCTACTCTGTATATTTTTTCATAGTTGTTCCTCCACTATAATCATACACACACATTCTTCTGTGGCAGCAGGAAAAGCACCGCTGTGATAAATAACAAATTTGCCTCTTCTTTATTCAACTTGAGAAGATCCAATGCGAAAGGGTGTTACTTACTAATTAAGTCTAGTTATTGTTTTGCAATGGTCAGGCTATTTCTATGCAGTACTGGTGTGTTGGCCATAAGCCATGGACACATTTCTCTTAGCCATGCTGGTGGTGGTGCTGCTCAAGGGACGCAGTCCTGTTCGCTGATCAGAAAATGGCTTAATTCACAAATGACTTGAATAACTGATATATTCTCCTTGGATGTGGATGGAGTTCAGATTGCTTACATAACCCGTTTTAATGCATTCTTCCTTTTGTTTTATAAATCATGGAAATGGAATTTGAGAAATTTAGAACAGTAGTCTAATAAAAACCGGCGTCAGTAACCACATTAAATACAAAAGTTGAAGCCGGGTCAAGGTTATGAAAGTCGATTTAAACCTTTCTGCCATCGCACGTTGTTTCCTCGACTTTTGTCCCGAAAGTTGTCGGCGTGTCCGCTGCATCTGCAGCCGTCACCACACTCTTTAAGGGAGAGGAGTCTCCCTGTAAACCTTTTTACACACACTCGCCTCCCTGAGTTACAAAAGCTAATACAATATCTTTACAATTTATTGCAAAAATGAAATGCAAATATTGTATAATTGTCTCCATATGTTGTTTTTCATTTCATAAAAACTGAGGTGTGTTTTCACGTCTTATCTTGTTACTGTCCTTCGTAGTGCTGCACAAACACACACATTAACACCTTTCCTTTCTTATCATCAAACACACCTCCACCCGCTATTATCCCTCCCCTCCTCCTCCTTACGTGCGCTACATGGCGGGGTGTGTGTGGGGTTATGAAAACAGTTAGGCTTAATAATTGATGTTCTGCATTTCAATCAATTTTACCACAGTGTTAGGCTAATTAAGGTTAGCTCCATTTTCCCAGGGGCTGTTTGTGTGTGTGTGTGTGTGTGTGTGTGTGCACGTGTGTGCATATGTGTGTGTAGAAAGGTGTCTGTGAGCATCAAAGTGTGTGTGTGTGTGTGTTTTTTCCTGTTCCTCGGGGCTCCAAGCTCCATTTTATATCTGAGAATACATGGGAATTCTCTATTTCAGGAACAAGAGATGAGCGATTCTCTCACTCTCTCTCTCTCTCTCTCTCTCTCTCTCGCTCTTCCTCGCTCCGCTCTCCCCCTCCCTCTCTCCCCCTCCCTCTCTCGCCCTCCCTCTCTCCCCAGGCAGGATCCTAAATGCAATTAACACAGTCGCTTTACTGCCTGCTAATTATTAACACACACCCACCACACACACGCCTACAGTACACACACGGAGGGAGCGGGAATTATTATTTTATGCTGGACTAATTTAAAGTTCATTGACGATTGTTTTAATTAATTAAATAAGAAAAGTACACACTTTGAAATAAAAAAAACGTCAGGCTGCCAAGCGGGCACTGCAGGCGTTTGCATAGGAAGGTAATAATTATCCCCTGTGTGTGTGTGTGTGTGTGTGTGTGTGTGTGTGTGTGTGTGTGTGTGTGTGTGTGTGGTATCTCACCTACGTGAGTTTTGTGTGTGCATAGTTTTCCCAGCCATACAACTTAAGGTGTGTGGGTCTCCGTGTGTGTGGTTGTGTGTTAATGAGTCTTTAAACCCTCTCTGCCAGTATTTAACATTAACAGGAATAACTAAAGAGTCCAATTAAGAAGCAGGGAGTGATTTATGTGCCTCACATTTGTTTCTATGATTAAATATTCACTGGTGGGCCGTGCTAACCGCAGGAAGTTGGACCTGACGTTCATGAGTTTAATTTGTTTCATTATTAGTGCTAAAAAATGGTTACATGCACGTTCTGTGTCAACGTCCACTGACGACTCACCGCTTATCTTGGCAGGTTTACAGCTTCTGATGAGTACGAGTTCCTTTACAGATCGTTTCTTTCTCTTTAAATCATTTATGCACATTTTAATCTTTGATGTTCTGTTGATGTAATATCTGTTTAGTCAAATCACATTTTCATATTCTTTTTCTCTGTTATTTCTTATCATATTTTAGACACTTTATCCTCTAGGCGTGTATCAGATAATGTTTTGTTTCATGATTGCTCTCATGGGACCTTTGGATATCACATGAAAAAGAACAGGCATGAACAATAATTCAAATTAAATAAAATGTTAGAAATACTAGATAATTTGAGAACATTCAGCTTTTCAGTGTGCAAATGCATCTACATAATTCTATCTGACCGTCAATAGATGCGGAGATTCAGAAGTAAGAAATGAAATCTCAGATGTGACTGTGACGGTTCATCAGTTTAAAAGTAAAATCTGCACAGTGGTCTATAGAAACATTTTTATTATTAGCAAATTTCTTTTTAAGGGGTTTGTTTATGTCCGGCAACCCCGTCTCCTGGTTTTGGACCTCTAAAAGGAAAACGGTCAGGGAACTACCAGGATTTATATCGAGCCGTTTGTGTGAACTCTATTCTGCAAATAAAAGGCGTGAGCCTGCGGTGTAGATGTTGGCTCGAGGCTTTTCTATTACTGGTGTCATGGGGAACATTTCTGCATTTTACAACACCATTTTAAATGCACATTTTTCACAGAACTAACACTTGATGTCTTCGCTTGTACTCACTAGATAACAATACCTACACTGTGAAATTAAGATAACAGATTATTTCCTTGCAAAATGATTTTCCAGTTGACTGTTATTGATCAGCGTAGAATGCATGTTACATCATGTGCTTGCAGAATGAAGAGTTGGACCTCATCCTTTTTGATTCTTATCCTAGATTCCTTTTTGCTGCACATCATCACGGACAACATTAGTAACTACAATGTGAGCGAAGACGACACGGAGACGGACTGAACAAAGCGACCTGCACTGAGGTAGGACGATGGACCTGAGAACTGATATCGCCGCGTTGTTGTGTTTTTCAGTAGAGCGCGCAATCCGCCTGCAATCCTCAAGTAACACAGCTGTGTTTGTTTAATAATGTCAAAGGAATAGGGAAGAAGAAGAACACAAAGGAAAGGGACGGAAAAGACCACAATATAACTAAAAGATAAAAGCGAGCGAATGACCAGTGAAAGGAGCTCCTATGAACGTGTGCCTGCTTGCATGTGGTGGACTCAGGTGTTGAAGTACACTCCCATTACACTCCAGACACGAGGCTGGAGGTGAGGAGCCGCCGTGCTCCCACCTCCCGACCGCCCCTATTCCCATCTCATTTCATGCTCCTCTATTATCTCCCCTTGTCTTTTTCTTCCTTTTTTTAATCCCCTTTAAGCTCATACTGAGCTGCGTATCCCCCTTGTTCAGCCCACCGCTTCTGTTCTAAATGTTCACTACAAGTTATACTTTTAAACCGGTTTGAGATGTAATTTGTGAGGGGGAGAAATCCATTCTATTGTAAGGTTCTGCCACTGATTTCTTATTAGTTACAAAGAAATAGAAAGAAGCTGCAGAGCTGCTGGTCGCGGGCACACATTGTTAAATTTGACTCCGCCCACTGAAGAAAGAACGACACGTGGTTCTTAAACTAGTCAACAGTATCTCTTCACTTGAAGAGATTCATAAATATTGTTTAATTTAACTTCGACGTAAGGAATTGCATTTTCCAGCAGCTGATTTGTTCTGAGGACACTTTGGAGCAGGATGGTGGATCCACTGTTTCTCACCAATGTTTCCTCCTCTATCCGTTATCACCCGTCTCTCCATTTCACCCCTTTTTATAGAAGCAACTATGTTTCCTAGTAATTCACATCTTACCTACTCATTGTGGCTGTCACTAACCTCAGCAGGGCAGTAGGAAGACATGGAGTCCAGGGGGGGAAGGTAAGATCTCAGGCCCGAGGGCACGGAGCCACAACGTGGGCTTTATTGTGTGTGTGTGTGTGTGTTACTCTCCTCCAGCCAAACCACCTTTTTGTGGATGCGCGTGTGTTCGGCTGAATGCATGAATATGTGAAAGGAACTCCCATATGGTGGTGTATTTGTGCACCTGTTTGTGCGCATTTGTGTGAATGAATGAACGTGTGTGTGTGTGTGCGTGTGAATGGAGGCCCCTGGCCAGGCCATACGTTATTGATGCTCCCGCCTCGGGGTATGTCGTGGGGGAAATGGATGTGTGCGCGCGTACGGCAGTGTGCTTGTGCGTGTCTGTGTGTGGGTACGGAGGTCACGTTGTGTCGTCAAACGGCTGCTGGTGAAAGATGGCCGGCGCTGATATGATCAGTCATCTGTTGATCAAGATGTACTGCTGCCGCCTCGTCACAGTTTGCCCCGGAAATTCACTGTTAACTCGTTCCTCCATCACTTCTCTTTCACTCTGTCCCTTTCTCGGTCTTTGTCTCCCTCCTTATGTGTCTCTTGTCTTCTAATTTAACTCTTGTTTTCTTCTTTTCACCTTTCAATGGACTTTAGACGTAAGTATGTTGTTGTTTTTTTCAAAGCTGTGACAAAGAATGGAGTAATATTTGAATGAGGACATAGAAAAAGGCAAAAGTGACATGAGAGATGCGGGAAAATAAGGGATAAAAGTGTGAACGCAAAATAGACAATAACATATTTTCTCACAAGGACCCCCCCCACCCCCCGTGTCTCTTCATTTTGTCTTGACTCTATCTTGTATCTTTCTCTGCATGTTTCACTCTTGCTGTCACGCAGTCTGGGGGTTGTCTCGCGTGTCTGATTTGACTTTCTGGTTTGACGTATTGACGTCCACGTGCGTCCGCGTGTCTTTCTACTCCGAATGTCTCTCCCCTCTTTTCCATCGCTCAATATCGTTCTCCTCTGTCGTCTCTCTCTCTTATGCATCTGTCTGTTTCACCCGAGTGTCTCTTTTCCTTTCATTAAAGTGTCACGTTACATGTGTGCACACAGAGCCAGGAAACGGTAACACACAATCACACTCTGTAACCCACACAATGTTTAAATGCACATACACACACACACACACACAGACGCTGTCGAGCATTGAGCTCGTACTGTACAGGAGACGCACACATTTGAGTACACACACGGCGGTAATGTGCTTTAGAAACAGTGGTTAAGTGTAAAACACCGGCCTAAAGTGCTCAGCTCTGCGTTGAATAACTAATGGCCTTCAGAGGGTTTATTTATTTATTTTACTTTAAGGCGGTGTTGTTTTCTGTGGTTAATGTATAAAGGGTTTCTGTCTGTGTACATGTCTACGTTTTCTACCAACATTAATTTAATTTGAAATATACAGTACCAGTCTAAAGTTAGGACACTTAAATGAGAAGATGTATCAGAACCTTTGCCTGGTGCTGTAGTTGCTCATGTAGAGTTGCAAATAAATACAATGCAATACAATCTTTGTGTGACATTCTATGAAATGAAATACGGTTGGTTGGTTGTTGCCATGAAGCTTTTTACCGAATTTAGCAAGCAGGCGGACTGAATCACCCACTCAGTTCTCTTTGCTTTTCACCGAATATCTGCAAATAATTAGATTGAGACTGATTGAGAGTTGAACAGGGAATGTGGTGTATTTTGGTCGCTGTCATTTCATCCCTACGATGCAATATGGTGATTTATGGTTCAGCAGGGACTCTCGTCCTGGCCTCTTGTATATAATATATACTAGTAAGAACAAGGGAGTTTCCCCGCCTCCCTACAATCCTTACACTTGCTCTACTTGTAGGAGCTGTTCTAAACGGACTGCATGGAATAACCTTTATTATACCAAACTCCAGTTAAAATATTGACCTTGTCTATATTTGAACTGTCAGCACATTGAATTTGAATCTGCTCCCATTTGCCTTTCCCAATCTCAAGAGGTAAAACTCAATGTACAGGGTTAAAGGCTAATCTTTACTAATGTAATGCATTGCATTCAGTTTTAAAATGCCCTGTAAAGAAAGAGAATTCCATCTGCCATTCACTTTGTTGGTGTATACAGTAGGTATGCTGTCGACATGGAGCAGTTCTTTTATCAATGAGAATGCTCAATTCTGCATATGTACACATCACACAGCCGTGTGTGTAGACGGGGTGTATTCTGACCCGCCGATGAATATGTCTTCTTAAATCACTCAACGTTGCGTTGGTGTTGTTTTCTGTGGGAAATGGATAATGTCTTTTACAATGTGTGGTTAGAGTCCAGACCAGTACAGTTCATTTTGCACTGACCTCAACTGATACATAATGTAACAGCCCTGACCACACTGATGTATTAGTGGACTAAATGACTGTATTAATGGTGCTCAATGCAGGGAGGAAGGGAGGCACTAAGAGGCTTGAAAAGTGCTTTAAATGAAGGTGTGGGGCAGTGTGTGTGTGTGTGTGTTTGTGTAACTGAAGGAGTATTTGAATGTCGAAGGGATCAGGCAATCCATCGCGAGTGAGGACATTTCAAAGAAAAAAACTGAACCTAAAGTCAAATCAAATCCTAAATTGTATCATATTTTTTGATGGTGATGCAGTTGTGGATGTGTGTGTGACATTTTTAAAGCCGCATCCATCACTCGGCATTGTGTGAGAGTCGAGCAGTGAATATTGACACTAACGCTAATGGAGAGGCAGAAGTAGTTCAAGTAAAGTTCAAACAAACGCTATAGTTTGTTTTGTGAGTGATAAGACTGCTGCTCTTGAATGTGAGGCTGTTTACATGGAAATCAGCCAACCATTTATCTTACAATGAAGGTAAACTTTGTCCAATTGCATAGAAGTCAGTGAGGAAACGACTCCACTTCTCACTAGATTCATGGCCTCATTTATGGTATCATTTTCAAGTGTTCTTCAATACAGCACGTTTATTTATTAAATGATGGTCCATTTGGAGTCAAATAGTGCTTTAGGGCGTGGCTACATTGTGATTGACAGGTCACTATCACAACTAGGTGTCTTTTAGTTCCCCTAAAAATGTGTTTTTAACGTGTACTAAGTAGTTAGTTGCAAAAAGCAAGATGTCATATGCTAAAATTTGTCATGGGGACTATGACCACTTTTCATATGCATCTTATTATAACATACGGAACAATTTCTTGTACAGCTTAACAAATCCATTCCTTCCATTTTGCATATGTGACTGAATCTCAGGTGAATGTTGCGTTGGGAAGCGGCCAACGAAAGGCCTGTGCTCAGGTATGGGATTATGTGTTTATCCGCTACATCCTGACATCTCCGTCTGCTTCATGCCGTTATGTTTGTCCCCTGGACGAGTAACACTATCTACAACTCTCTCGCTCCCGTCTTCCTTCCTCCCTCCGTTCTTCCTTTTTAGTTCTACAGTGTCGGGCCGAGTTGTAAACAACTGTCATATCTTTCCTTCTTAAATGGCATTCACAGTTGGGCCATGTGTGCGCACACGCACACACACAAGTATATCTCATCAATGTTTTAGAAGGAGGGCCGAATATGAGCTAGCTATACCCATACCTAGTCCTCACTTATTTACATCCGGCTGCCCCCGCGCCACTGAAACCTCAACAGCAACATCAATGATTCATCAGCCGATGTTTTAGCAAAATGCATGTCTCCTCCGTCGATACGGAGGACGCGAGGAGGGAAAGGTTTGGAGGAAGGAACACACACGAGGAGACATGACAGCAGGAAGAAGGGAGGGGATGGAAGGGGAGCAGAGGAAAAGATGGGTGAAGTAAGGAATGACAGAGAGGAGATTAAAAGACGACCAAGCCGAAGCAAGAGGAGCAGTGCCGCTGCATCCTTCTCTCACCTCCTCTTCCTCCAACCCCCGGTTTTCTTTTCTGTGCATGTCCAACACTCGATCCCTCTTTTACGGATGAAATGCGGTCTTTTTTTCTTATTTTTGTCCTAAATCAATGACATTCTGCAGACACACAGACATGGGACTCTTGATATGTCTTTTACTCTTTATATTTCAGTAGAATATGACTCCGCT